GCCCCACGCACCAAAATGGGCGGGACAGAAGTGACGGTGGTTCTTAAAGAGACAGAGGCCAATTTCAAGGCGTTTAGAAGAGGAAGTGATGAATAGATAAGTTTATTTTCCATTTAAACATAAAAACAGCATTTTAATAACAACTAAAGGTGACATAGATACTTTATTATGGTATAGTTTTTAAATACTGTATATTCCTGAGAAACGCATAATATTGACCCTTTAAACCATAGAACCTTCACAAATTTGCCTAACAACCATAAATGTAACAGAGAGTTGCTGAAGCATTTCATAATAAAAGAAGTGAGTAAATTGACAACCAAAATAAAGATGAAAAACAAAAAAAGCTTAAAATGGTTTTTAAAGGCTCAAAAGAATGATTTATGTATCTCAGAGAAATTTTTGGAAGCCACATTATTGTCTCAAATCATAATCCTTATAAGCTTTGCAAACAAAAGCTTTGCAAATGTAATTAATAGAACAAAGTCAAATAACTATCGGATGAAATATATATATTAACAGAAAAGAGTCATGATTAGGTCAAATTTCAGAGTCTATTTGCAACACAGATTCCAAAAAAATATACTTTTTGTAAAATGCAGAGTGAAATGATTTTCTAACCTCATAAATCCAAATATTTCACATATTAAATGTTTGTAATAAGACATAGTCTTTTGACTCTAAGCTGAACAATGTTTGAGTTTACATAAAATTTAAAGGCCCACAACTATTCTTGAAATACTACCTTCTCTTTCCCAAACATTTAATCATGACATTATGTATAATGAGCTACTCACAGAGCTCCCTCTTGAGTTCAGTGAGGCAACGGAGCGTGGCTGTGATGAACTCTCGATATTTGCTTTCTATGTCTTCCAGGATGTGTTTTCTGTCCAGACTGATGGGATCGGGAACGAAAAGGGGGCAGTTCAGGTCAGCTAACAATCTACAACAGAAAAGATGCCCCAACATAGACCAGAATTAGTTTCTCTCTCTGCAGTGTGTCTATATTTTATCTAACAAAATAACTGACTGTTTCTCTGAAACATACACTCCACAGCTCAGCTATTACAAAAACACACAACTGGCCTGGACTTACTTTGTATCGTCTGATTGAAACGCCTGTGGAGGGGAAGGTGAAGAAAAACACAAAGAAATATGCCAAATAATCCCAGAAAGAATTACAATTTTCATATGAATCTGTAAATAACATCTACAACAAGAACTCACATGGTCAATGCACCTTTGTACTGTATATATTCTCCTTTACATGTCCTTTGTTTTCCTCGTGACATTAAAAAAAAATCACCTGTCATCAGATTATTTCTAAAATTTGTTAAATACAACATTGGAGTAACAACAAACCAACATACTGCCATTGTTTGCTTGCAAAAAAACTAATGCAAAATGCAGAACTAGGATGTGAAAACTAATTACAAGTGAATAAACTGCAGAAATTAGCAGCAATATTTGAACACACAAACAAACCTTTAAGTCATTCATCTGGGTGAGAGGGAAGAACTGCTAATGAAAATTAAGCCATAGATCTTCCTAATGTTTGAGTATGATTCCTGTTTATTCAAGGCATCATCCACATACATACATCCTTTATTGGGTCATGGAGGCCTCTCCACTGGTCAGTGTGCAAAAGGCAGGGCACATCCTGCACAGGGCCACATAGAGATAAACAAGACAAACAACTACTCTCTCACTCACACGTAGAGATCATTTAGAGTTACCAACTAACCTAATATGCATGTTTTTGGTCTGTGGGAGAAAACCAGAATACCTGGAGAAAAACAGGTATTGGGGAAAACATGCAAACGCCAAACAGAAAGGCAAGGAGGCGAACCTGTGTGCTGTGAAATGATAGCTGTAACTGCTGCACTGAGGTGCCCCCTAGTTTATAAGTTTATTTAAATGCAATGCGACCAGTCTCATCTATAACCATGTGTTCACTGCATCACTCAAACATAATGCACAGCCACAGTGAGCAGACAGTGTCCCTACAAACCCAGGAGCCAGGSAGAAAGAGAAATCACACACACGACAGGCCCTGGAGCAGTGTGGTTATCCTGACTGGGCTTTCCTGAAAGCAGACAGGAAACACAGACAGGATTCCATG